ACCTAGGAATACCGGAGGATATCAGTGGGTCCAAAGTTAAACTCTTTGCTTTCCTCAAAGATAAGCTGAGAAGTAGAGTAAATGGATGGAATGGTAGATGGCTCTCTAAAGGAGGCAAAGAAGTTATGATAAAGTCGATTCTACTTGCTCTTCCAACATATGTAATGTCTTGTTTTCTTCTCCCATTGGAGATCTGCGACAATTTAGCTAGTGCCATTGCACAGTTTTGGTGGAGCTCAAATCCACCAAAAAAGGGTATCCATTGGTCGACATGGGACAAACTATGCTTACCTAAGGAAGATGGCGGAATGGGCTTCAGGATGATCCATGAATTTAACCTCGCGCTACTAGCAAAGCAATTATGGAGATTGATGCAGCACCCGGACTCTCTGGTAGCTCGTGTACTGAGAGGCAGATATTACAGACTGAGTTCGCCCTTGAGGCCAATTAAGGCTAGCAACCCATCATATGTGTGGACAAGCATAGCGGCTGGAAGAGAGTTGCTACTTTTAGGCATCCGACAAAAAGTACACTCAGGTTATGAGGTTAAAGTTTGGGAAGACCCTTGGATTCCTACTAGACCTGCGAGACCTGAAATTCATGTCGCTCAGGTTCTACATCCAAATATGAGAGTGTGTGATTTGATTGATCAAACTACAAAAAGATGGGATGACCGGCGTCTACAAGATTATGTTGCGGCAGATGATATACCGCTCATTAGATGTATGGCCATTAGCTCTATGCATCGACGGGACACGTACTGCTGGAGCTATACGAGGACTGGACAATATACAGTTAAATCTGGATACTGGGTGGCGCGGAATATTTTGAGGAAGAAAGAAGACCCTGGAGTATGTGAGCCTAGTATTACAAAGCTCCAAGCACATGCTTGGAAGGTGAGAGCCCCTCAGAAGATATGTCACCTTATGTGGCAGTTGATATCAGGGCATGTAGCTGTCACGAGTATCTTAAACTACAGACATATGAGATGTGATGACCACTGTCCCCGCTGCGGGGAACCCGAGGAGACGATTAATCATGCGATTTTTGAGTGCCCACCTGCCCTGCAAGTTTGGGCTCTATCATCTACGCCTACCAATCCCGCTCTGTTCCCGGTTCAAAGCGCGTACGCAAATATGGACTATCTCTTTTGGAAGAAGAATGCGATAATGGAGCCAGAATTGGACAGGGACCCCTATCCTTGGCTAATATGGTACATTTGGAAGGCTAGGAATGACAAGCTATTTAGAGGTATTGACAGGGACCCTTTGGAGCTCGCGCGCTATGCAGAAAGTGAATGTCAAGCATGGTATAAAGCAAATGAGGCGGAGAATTCGGTTCCCATTGGGACCGGAGGAGGAGAAGACCAGGCCGTAAGCTTGGGTAATATTTGCATGGTAGATGGATCTTGGACATCTACAAATGTCTTCAGTGGCTGTGGATGGGTTTTGAAGGATAACAGCGGAAATAACGAGTTATTGGGGTTGTGTAACTTTGATCGAGTGGAATCGGCTTTGCACTCAGAGTTGGAAGCACTACGGTAGGCAATGGAGAATATGCTTCAACATTCGCCATGTCAGAGCTTCGGGACTGATTGTAAGGAGATGATTGAGATGCTCAGGAATCCTCATGCATGGCCTACCTTTTCGACAGAACTGGAAAAACTGGAGACGCTGAAGACTTGCTTCCCTGACTTTAAGATTTTTTATGTGCCTAGAGCACAAAACGGCGTGTCTGATTCTTTAGCGAAGACAGCTAGGTCTTTTTTCCGTAAGATTATGTTCGTAGGTTGTTCTATTCCGGTCTGGATCCCCAGGCCACCTCAAGTTCTTTGAGTAATAGAGCAGCCGTTTGATGTCAAAAAAAAAAAAAAAAAAAAAAAAAAAAAAAAAAAAAAATCTGGTCTAATCTTTTCCATGAACTTGCAATTAATTACAGATCGATAACTGAATGACAAAAACAAAAACAAAAAACCTTCTTATTCACACCCAAGTCAAAGAGATCAACGAGTTGGGAAGCCCAGATTGTTCGAAACTAGTGTCAGATCCGTAATAAAGATTCTTGTAATAACCCGGAACCGCTTGAAACAGCTTGAAAGGCTTGTTCCTCTCTGATTGATCAATCTGTGAGTAGCAAAACGACCAAAGAAGCTGAACAGATTCACATTTGAGGAAACTTCTCTGCACTCTTCTGCCGTCGGGTAATCGAACGCAGATCCAAATCTCTATATGGCTCGGACAATTCCGGGTACCCAACAAACGCGTTTGGAACAAATATGTTGTAGTTGTCGTTGTACTCTCGCTAGCTTCTGATGCGTCGGGACAGTGTTTTCGGCGTTTGGTATCTATGAATGGTGATGAATTCTCCACGAGTGTCTGGGATTCAAGCATAGCGAATGATCTTTTTGCCAATGAACGGAATCGAACTGTTGATTTCACAGTAGTCTTTTACAGGAGGAGGGTTTGAGTGTATTACTGAGGCGTGGAAACTGAGAATTCTGTTTCTAGTTTCGCTTAGAAATGGATATTTTCCTTTTTTTTTGGCCTTAATTATTCAACTTATTATTATTATTTTTAGGGAAAATTGCCAAATATGACTCAAAACTTGATTTGAAATGCAAAAGTAAACCCAAACTTGAATCAAATGCAAAAGTAACTTAAAAGGCTGTTGAAATTACAACCAACCCCTTGTGAACAAACAAAAAAAGAGTTTTTTTGACGTTTTTAGCCCTCGCAAGTCGTCTGCCCAGACGACTTTAAACTAAGTCGTCCAGA